CTTCTTCTTCTTCTTCTTCTTCTTCTTCTTCTTCTTCTTCTTCTTCTTCTTCTTCTTCTTCCTCTTCCTCTGGTTCTTGTTCTTCCTCTGGTTCTTATTCCTCTTGTTGTTGTTCCTCTTCTTCCTCTTCCTCTTCCTCTTCATCTCAGACTCCCCTCCTGTTTTCAGTAATCCCGCAGTGGGATTATAGGAGTGTGCCACCATGCCTGGACTCGGTCTCCAGTTCAGTGGGCCCAGAGGCAGGGCTTAGACTGCTGAGCTATCTAGCCAGCCATTTTTGCTTTTTGAGATAGGGTCTCACTATGTAGCCTAGGCTGGCTTCAAACAGGCACAGCCCTTCCCAGTACTCAGATTACAGTGTGTACCACTACCCTGGCAATAAGTTTTTGTTGGCATGAATAAATTATCACTTCAAGCTTTCTGGCTGTCCTAGGTGAATCCAGTGGTTGTTGTATGCATAGACAAGGTGAGGGGTCATTTACCTTGGCACATATGCTCAAAATAGAGGCGCTAGTGCTGGTGATATAGCTCAGGGCTTGCCTGGAAACTGCAAGGTCCTGAGTTTGATTCCTGGTACAAAAACAAAAGCATCACAACAACTGCCCCCCCAAAAATGGAAGCACTCTGGTGCTTTAGAAAATACAAGAACACAGGCACAGGCTTCTCCCTGCATTGGCAAAGACCTGTGTTGATGTCCATGTTTGTCCCGAGAAAAAGGCACACACAGAAAGATGAGAGGGAGAGGGTAGAAGGGAACAGTGTCTAGCCTGCATATCACTTTGACATGTGAATCATGTGAGTGAATGATCTCCCAAAATTCATTTTTAATAAAAAATGATTAAGTGCAGAAGTCTTTCAAGGAAAGGAAACAGAAAACAGAGAGAGTTGGGAGTTGGCGTCTCCGTTTTTCATTGCTGGAGCCACACACCCTGCTGTCACTTCCAGGAGGGCAGGTTCATTTCCGCTCACAGTTTCAGGGGTTTCGGTCCGTGGTTGCTGGCTTCCCTGCACGCAGCCACTAGGAGGCAGGGGCGTAGGGTGTGGAGGAAGGCGGCTCATCTCATGGCAACCAGGAGGCCGAGAGAGGGATAACCGGCCCGACAGAAACTACAGGCCCGAGACTGTCTCCCTCCTTCCATCAGCAGAGAAGCACCGCTGTCACTCCAGGACCCCTGAAGAAAGGCACAGGAGGCTCCCACAGGTTGGGCGTGGCCCTGGCTCCCACCCAGCCCCCTGGAAGCTCTTCCTGCTTCTGCAGCCCTCACGCCGTCACCTCAGCCACACAGTGGTTTCCATAGCAACAGTGTCCTTCCCAAAGGGAAACCATGGAAGGACGCTAAGGGAAACCATGGAAGGACGCTAAGGGAAACCATGGAAGGACGCTAAGGGAAACCATGGAAGGACGCTAAGGGAAGAATGAAGGGGAAGTGAGCAACACAGAAATGTAACAAATAAAACAAACAAACAAAAAAAAATCCAGGGGTCCAGCACGTGACCTCGTATTACTGCCACTCCAGAGAGAACATTCCTGGCAGGCATACTCGGCCATTGTATTTTACTTCAAGTTTGTCAGATGATCGTCACCTAAAGCCACACACGAGGTGACAGGCTCAGCTCTACCTGGCAAAGGATGACAACAGCCCAGTTTAAAGGACAAGGGCCAGGGAAGCCCAGGAAGATGCTAGACCCTTCATAGGCGTCCTCAGCCACCGCAGTAGCTGAGTGCCCCTGGGCTGTGTGTCTGCCTGTCTTTCTTCCTTGGACATTGTGCCCAGAAGGCTTTGTGGCATTTGCACTGGTATGCTTCCCTGCTGTGTGATCTGGAGCAAGTTCCTTAACCACTCTGTGCCTTGATTTCCTAATCCATAGAAGGAACAAGCGACGATTATGAGGTTCATGGGGGTGGGCAAGGGTTAAGTGAGACGATCTACTCAGTGGGCCGACTGATGACTCGAGCTCTTCCCATTCCTTTCCAGTTGGCCATGGTCGGAGCGATGGAGAGCGGTTGGTGGTGTACGACTTCCAGGTCTATGTCAGGGACGTGCTGCACCATGTGGACACCATGCAGAAGGACTACCCCGGACTACCTGTCTTCCTGCTGGGCCACTCCATGGTAAGCAGACAGCTAGAGACAGGGGTCAGGTGACACCTGGGGCCCAGCTTCCTGGGGCCATTGGGTGCTGTGCGGCCTTTCTCCCTGCCTGCTGTTCCCACACCCTGCACTTGGGATTCTGTGTACCTTAGAGCTCAGGATACAGGCTGGTTCCTGGAGGCAGCCCCTGGGGAGCCCAGGAACTGCCCCTCTGTATCTGTCCCTTTTGTCTCATGGTACTATTTCTCAGGCTCCCTGGGGAAGCTGCTCCTTAAAGCCACTCAAAAGCTTCTTCACGATGCAAATCTTCAGAATCTCCCAGCAGTCAGCTGGATTTTAGAGTGAAGTCACGGGTCCTCACACAGGGCCAGATCAGCCCTCAGAAAGGCTGACCCGTTGATGAGGATTGGAACTTCTGGAAGCTGCATGCCTGGGGACATTCACCAGGGGAGGCCTTCTGACTGCCTTTCACTTCCGGCCCACTCTGCTGCTCCATCTCTCTTCCCTGCCTGGCCCATTCAGCATCCAAAATGGCACCTTGGCTTGAATCACCCTTGAGCTCCCGGCAGCCAAGCCTTCCCTCCTCCCTCACCCTCCACAGTCACTGAGTATTTTTCTTAGAAACTAAATTTCTGGAGGCTTTATGAAACCAGAAGAAAAAACATGTAGCAATCTATTATGATTGGATTTGACCACCCTACCCCCCAATCTTTCCTTACCCAAAAAACCTCATATGAGACCCAGAATGGATGAGTTGCTGGCTTACCAGCTTTTGGCTTGAAATGAAAAGGGACTGTGTTATTGTTTAACTTGGGGCTCATGGGCAGAAACCTTATTTATATCTTTCCAAAATGTTTGCTTTTAGAAAACCCAGAGAGGGAAAAGGAGGGTTGGTAAAATAACTTCAGATCTAGTTTGTCCAACATTTGACAGTGTCCATTCCAAAGTGGCTGTCCCCAGGCTCTTGGCTGGGAGAGACACAGGGCTTCGTGGGTGTGCTGGTGAGAAATGTGTGTCTGGCTTGCCTTGCAGGGCGGAGCCATCAGCATTCTTGCGGCTGCAGAGAGGCCCAGTCACTTCGCCGGCATGGCCCTCATTTCACCTCTGGTTCTCCCCAGTCCGGAATCTGCAACCACTTTCAAGGTAAAGGACTTGTGGGTCTCATATCCCTGGAGTCCCTTGAGACACAGAGTTTCCATTCATAGCTGGTGTGGAGGCCAAAGGGCCAGAGCCCCTGCCTGGATGTCACAACTATTGTTGGAAGATTTGGACAGGTATCAGGCATTGTTGCTGCCAGCCACCTTCATTTCAAAAGTCAGACTCATTTCCCTGAAAAGACACAAGGAAAAGGCCTTCCTGTTTGTGCATGTTTTGTTGTTGAGCTTAAAAGGGGGAAAGGTTACGCATGCTCTCTGTCCAGTGAAGTCATGCCAGCTGAGGGTCACACAGTGGCTGGAACTGTGTGCCAACATTGAAAACTGGGTGCTGCCACCTGGGAGGCCGTGGGCTCTGCTGCTTGGTTTATCTGAGGCTAACATACTTTGCATGTTATCTGAGGACAGCATTCCTCTTGTCACAGCTCTGAGTCAGCAGATAATCCCCAGAGCAACCTAAAAGCCTCCTCCTTCAGGAGGTCAGTAGAATCAGAGGATTGCAGGGCTTTTCCTGTTGATGTGGGTGGCATCAGCATAGACTGTCCTTGGGGGACACAAAGCTTAATAGTAGATGTAACATAGCTCTGGTGAGGGTGACAGCCTCAGGCCATGTCCCCAAGGAACATCCCATCTCTTCCAGATCCAGGCAAAGGTCTCAGGACTCTCAAAGGGGCAGGAGATAGTGCCTACTGGCTTACCCTATGGCCTTCTACCAAGTGACAGTGGCTGGGATCATGTATTAAATAATAGCAGTAAGCACAGTGGCATATGTCTGTAACCCCTGCTCCCAGGAAACTGAGGCAGGAGGAATGCCTCAAACTCGAGGCCAGCCTTGGGTACATAGTAAGTTCAAGGCCAGCCTGAATTGCATAATGAGACCCTATCTCAGATAGATAGATAGATAGATAGATAGATAGATAGATAGATAGACAGATAGACAAACAGACAGGCAGACAGAGACAGACAGACAGACAGACAGATAGATAGGCATTAGTTCTTATTCTCTCCCTGGGAAGGAAACTAGTACATGGGGAGCACCGCAGCTGTGTCTGTAGGTGAGCTGATGGGGTTTCTTCCCAGGATCCCCTGGGGCCTTGCACTAACAGGCGAAGGTGACGCTTCTGGGCACTGTGACCTTTTGGAGCCTGTGCTAATAGATCACCTTGTCAAATCAGAAACTGGCGCCTCTGGGGAAACACAATTCTCCTCTTATTAACCAAGACAAATTAGATTTCCTTCTTCCCTGGTACTGAGGGCTACCTCCCACCCTGGAATCTGTTGCTCCTCCTAGCCACTGCAATTTTGAGTGACACAGGCTGTAACCCTGCACCCAGTCTGCCCTGGCATCTCAGTGACCACCCCCACTTCTCTGGGCTTCCCTAACAACCTACATGCAAGAGTGCCACAGAACCTTTTACTAAAAAAATTCTGATTTAAAAAGTTTAAGAATAATCTGTGAGGATAGTTCAAGAGTCTTTGAACCACAGAGTCACTTTGCCTCAGTTCCTCCAGTGGGCCATTTTTTTTTAATTTCATTGTCGTGCTTGGCCACATCTCTTGACACTCCTTCTCCATCCGGACCTGCAGGGGTCTCCTTATAGGGACAGGGCCAACTGTAGGGAAGGTGCCTGGTGGTGGGTTTCCAACCATCCCAGCAGTTGCTGCTGACCCTCAGAAATGCAGGACTCCTCAGCATGTGCCCTGTCCACCAGACCACCAGGGAGGGCAGTGTGAGACCCCGAGTCCTTGGGCACAGATACACGGGAGTGGGGCAGCTCCTCACCCTGGCACAGGAGGATGCCAACTCACCCTCACCCTCCAAATCTGTCACCATCTGCTTCTTAGCCAAGGCTGGTTTTCAACAAGCTGAGATATATTTAGCCCGGGGAAGGACACAATAAGGACAGAGCTTTGGTCCCCCAGACACTGCAACAGAGGAAATGGTTTCATAGAGAAAGTAACAGCAACAGAGATTTAGGAACAGAAATCCCACAGGCCCCACCTCAGTTGTTGGGGAGGTGGATTTGTGTCCCCTGACCTGTGCGTCTCAGGAGCACTTAAGACTGTACAGTAGCTAGTCATAGTCTGGTTTCTCTGGGAGCTTCAGGAAAGATATAAACGTCCTGAAAAGAGCTTAGAGGCTGGCCCTGCTGCCAGGACAAGTTATTATATATGGCCTTTTCTGCCGTCCCCCGGAGTCCTGGGCAGGGACATAGGAGCCTCCAGCACACACCAGTGCTGCACAAGGGCCCCGCTCGCAGCCAACCTGCAGCTTGCCAAAGTGCTGAAGAGGGGGACACGGAGCCCAGTCCTCAGCCAGGACACACCCTACACAGAGAGGAAGTGATTCCATTCCCAGCCAAGGACATGAGGCCTCTTGGCTTGCTTGGAGGCAGAGAGTACTGGGGTACCATCTCACTCTGAAACATGTTTGAGTGAGGTGGATTTGTGCCCTGAGCCAGCCACTTCCCATGCGAAAGCCACACATCCCCGTTAGTAATAGACTCCACAGGGCCTTTGGGGTTGAGGGTGCTGGGAACCAGGAATGCAGACTAGGCACAAGCTGTCACCTCCCTTCAAATTGAAGCTGAGCATTGCCCCCACAAGGTGGCCCCAGTGGACACAACAGGGAGCTGCAGTAGACAATTCACCTGATCGCTCAAAGCTGGGGTTTTCGTTTCTAGACACATGACTTGAGGGGCCAGCCATCCATCCAGCAAGTCCCTATAGACCACTTAGGAGACCATTTAAAAAGGCATGAGGCATGTCTACTGCACACCTATGCCAAGGGCATCTGTCCTTCCAAGTTAGTCTTCTGTGATTCAAGAACCTGCTGTGTCACCAGGTGGCTGTCCCCACCCTAATCCCTGGCCACAGTGCTGCCCCGGAAGGAGGCTCCTTCCATGGACAGATCAGCATTCTCGGAGCGTGGTCAGACACAACTTTGCTGAAGGTCCTTGACATCTCCCGCACCTATCTATCAAGTGTGGAGAGTGCCTTGGTGCCTGCTCAGGGGCAAGGAGCCCCGAACAGGCACCATCTCCGTCCCAGTGTCCTGACAGCTCAAGTCAAATTAGTGCAGCTGCAGAGCTTCCAACTCTTCCAACCTTGGCACTCTGTGTGCTCACTCAAGGGAGTTGTGGAGGCCACAAACCTGTGATGAAGGCTACATGGTAGCTAGACCCCAGAAGGGACAGGTGGTGTAATGGCCTTGACCTCACCTCCAGTCTTGGTGAGCACTCTTGGTTGGGGCCTCTGTGTTCCCTGGGAAGCAGGTAGCTGAAACCCAGCTGCTGGTGAAAGCTGAGAGAAACACCATGGGCTGGCTGGAGCAGCCATCTGGTTGACCTCAACATCCTTACTTGGCCCTGGTAGGGGCTTGGCTGTGGTTCCTAACTTCCCCTCTGCTTCCCACTTCCAGCCTCAATTCTGTTTCTACCTTCCTCCCCCATACTGTGCTTTCCTCAAACATAAAATCAACAAACCTAAGAAGAACAGTGGGGAGCAGACAAGGTGGGCCATGTTTATGATCCCAGGTGCTTGAGAGGCTGAGGCAGGAGAACTGAAAATTCAAGGCTAGTCTGGATGCCCAGAACAGGACGTGGGGAAGAGAATCTCCTGTAGCTGCTCAGAGCACCCCACCCCTGTGCCATAGCTCACCTCTTTCTTGGTTTTTTGGAGGGGAAGAGTTTAAATATCGGTTTTGTTGTTTGTTTGTTTGTTTGTTTGTTTGTTTGTTTGAGCTTCTGCCTGGTGAAATGGGATTGGAACTTACCTGTCTAGAAAAAGAGATGAAGGGCCAGGGAGATAGCTCAGTAGAATAATTCTAAGTGCTTGCCTGACAAGTGCAAGGTCTTGAGTTTAATTCCTGGTACCATAAAAAAAAACATTTAAAAATAAAAAAAGAGAGAGAGAGAAAGATGAAGATCAGAGCTGTCTGAACTTTTCTTTTCTTTTCTTTTCTTTCTTTCTTTCTTTTTTTTTTTTTTTTGTGGACCCAGGGAGTGAACTCAGGCCCTTGTGCTTGCCAGGGAAACACTTATTCCACTGATCCATCTCTCTGGCTCTTATCTGAACTTTTCATAGGATGGCTTCCTCAAAAGGGCAGCTTGCTGGTGGCCCAGGGACCATGCCTAGAGCATGAGGGCCATGAGACGTCCAGGCAGCTGTGCCCTCAGTTAAGCAACATCGCTGCATCTGTGTGCGGAGACCTTAGTATTCTCAGCATGGATCCTGAGTGTCGGGCCAAAAGGTGCGCATGTGCACAGGCACCAGCAAGGCATAGGATCCATGCCTTCCGAAGTTGAGGGCTGTGCCCTCATCTACACCTGTGGCTGGACATCCAGGCCTTTTGCTAGGATGCCTGGACCCTCCTCTACCTCGTGTGACAAGCTGGGCCTCCAGTTCCTTAACATTAAACGAGGACAAAGCTGAGCCTCTCAGGATTTTTGTAAAGATCAGAAGCTCGGGCACCTAACAGAGAAGGCTTCTGGGTATATGGGTGCCTGCACCCTCCCTTGAGGTCCTCGACGCGCCATGAGCTGTGAGCTGTGTGGTGCTAATTCCAGGACCTCGCAGCTCACTTCAGAAATAGCATCTACCGTCTCCAAGTCTGCACATGCACAAGGGCAGGCAGCCCCTCTGTGAGGCAGATGTGTGACATCAGGATCTGTTTTCTTGGGCTCACATGGGGGAGGGGCTGAATCAGGCTCAAGCCCACTGAGTATTGCTATGGTGCTGGGGATGGAAGCCAGGGCCTGACCTGACCCTCAGCCCTACCTACATGTGTGAGTGCCCACTAGGTGCAGACTTCCACATCCGAGTGTTGTCTGGTCCCACCTGACGAGGTACCACAGGCAGCTGAGGCAGTGAAGATGAGGGCCTGCCTCCCTTTAGGACACCACAGGGCCACAAATGCCACCTGGTTGTTTTGCTTGCCTCTGCCCTTAGGCTCCTAATTAGGATTCTTTCTGGTCTGAGCTTCTTGTTTCCTCACTCATCACCCATGATCCAGATGATTCTGCCCTGCTGTCTGTTTTTAGGGTGCCTACACACAGATCATTCAGATTCACACGACTGAGGGGGGATTGCAGGGAGAATGGCCACACAGAATCCATAGCAGGTGGAAAATAGACAGGACACAGTCTGGTGTGCTGGTGCACACCTGTAATCCCAACACTAGGGAGGCTGAGGCAGGAGGCTAACAGTGAGTTCAAGGCCAGCCTGGGCTACATAGCAAGACCCTGTCTCAGAAAAAGAAACAAAAACTGGACAGCACAGTCCTGCCTCACTGTGGAGGCTGCCTCCTTTACCCCTACATGAGAACCCAGAGAGCAGGGTTGAAGTTGTCTGAGTCAAGATTGTCTGGCTGTTCACTGGGGCAAGTGGCCCAGCTACAGGGCAGCTAGGGGTCCACCTGTCACTCCCTGTCACTTGGGAGAAGCCCATGGAGGTCCCAACTCACCCCCTCTTCTGTTTTCTGCCTAGATCTTTGCCGCAAAAGTGCTCAACCTGATCATGCCCAACCTGTCCCTGGGAGCAATTGACTCCAGCTTACTCTCTCGGAACAAGGAGGAGGTGAGGTCCTACTAGAGCTGGAAAGCCCCTGGCAGCAGGACATGGAGAAGCAGGAGGTTGTGTCATGGCTTTGGGGATGGATGGAAAGGGGGTGGCAATGATAGCTTTGACCTAAACACAGAGAACCAGATGATGTGTGTAAGGCCAGCTAGATAGCTCAGTGGACCAAGCACCTGCTTAGGCAAGCACAGGGACCAGGATTCAATCCCTGGCACCACATGCCATGCCGGCCCCACCCTTGGGTGTGCTGAGCCAGAGACCGAGTCTGGGTGTGGTGCACATGCTGGGAGGCTTGAAAACAGAAGCATCTCTACAACTCCAAGCTGTATAGAGGGAACCTGCATAAAATACATTAAAAAAAAAAGATGACGTGTGGTGGCCAGACCACTTCTGGGCACAAGTGATAAAAACCTGAGTTAAAGCCATTTAAGCAAAAGCAAGGACTCATGACTAAATGGAACCAAAAGTTTGGCTGCATCCAGGTATTCAGAGTTATGTTCAGGTGGGCGTGGCGGTGCACACCTGTGGTCCTAGCACCGTGGGAGACTGACAAAGCATTGTCACAAGTTCCAGCACAGTGCGGGCAAATTAGCACCTTAGCAAGACCTTGTGCAAAATTTTAAAATGGAAAAAGGCCTGGGGATATAGCTCAGTGCAAAAACCCTGGGGTTCTTTCCCAGCACTGGAAAAAATAGTCCATTCCGAGGTGGGAACAAAGGGGCCACCAGGACCTCTGCCCCGCGCAGCAGTCATCTCGGGCTGACTCTTCGAGGCTGGCTGCAGGCCTGGCTGTGTCGGGGGCATGGCCCGACCACCCATCCTCAGGCTGAAGGAGCTCAGCCCAGGCGGTGGGAGCGGAACAGCCCAGGTGTGGGGGAGCACACCTGTGCCCCCGAGGGTGCAGAAGATCCCAGGGTGAGCCCGCCATCAAGTACACCAGTCTGCCCCTCTCCTGTCTCAGTTTCCCTTTTGCCTCTGGCATGTGAATTCATCAAACTGCTGGCTCCCAAGGGTCCTGGCCATCCGGTGGCTGCCTCAGTTTCTCCAGGCAGTCAGGCTCCAGCTTCAGGCCTCTGACCCATGGTGGCCCTGGAGTTCCCTGAAAATGTTGACACAGTTTTGTTAGAAAAGCCACTCCAGATCCCAGACACCTATCCTGGAGCAAATCTGACTCACCTGCAGCCAAGATCCTGGTCTTTTCAATTGAGTGCTAGGTGAAGAAAGAGCATTTCAGAAAATCAGGTCTTTGGAGTGGAACTGCAGAACCTCAAGGGCCAGAAAGGCCAAAGCTCACACTGATGTCAGAGTCCTCAGAGACCCATTTCCCAAAGAAAACTGGGCTCAGAGAGGTTAAGCAACCTGTCCATGTTGCACAGCAGTCAGGGGCCCCAGTTCACTATGCAAGTCCATGTGGTAGTCAAGTGCTGGTTTCATCCTGAGCTCCTCTCTCAGTGTGTGACCTCAGTCCTTGAAGCTAGTGGTGTAGACCTGTGTGCTGTACAAGATCCATGGTAGGGCCAGACCTATAGTCCCAGCACTCGGGAGGCTGAGGCAGGAGGATCACCTCAAGTTCCAGGCCAGCCTGGCTACATAGTAAGTTCAGGGCCAGCCTAGGCCATATAAGGCCCACATTCCATCATCACCTCTCGGGCAATTAGCCCCTCTGCCTGTTGCCTGAGTGCCCTTTGCACTTTGTGTTGGACTTTAAAAACAGCAACACCAAGGGGAAAACGTGTTCACCACAGGCCCCTCCTGCCACCTCACATCAGGTGTCCCAAGGCTCAGCTGATATGTCCAAGGAATCCTTGCAGCTCTGAATACCTGAGCCAAACACAGTGCCTGAGGAGCTGGCCAGATCAGTTGGGAAGGACAGTGGATCAGGAGTCTGTGTGGGGCTGCAGCTCTGGACCCAGGTGTCCACATAAGCGTTTGATGGGGCTTGCTGTGCCACCTTGGACTGTCAGCGGCACCGCACAGCTGCCACCCTGCAGAGCCACCTTCTATCTGTAGGTGTGAAGCCTCCTCCAGGAGAAGCCCCACACCTGAGGTCACACCTGCTTCCAGAGACACCCATAGCCAGTCTGTCTCACTGCAGCCAGGAGGTCAAACTGACAACCCGCATTTGCAGTCGCAAGAAAGCAAGCTGACGGCTCCAGAACCCAGCTCCCCCGTGCACATCGGAGCCCAGGCTCTGTGTTCCGGGCCAGATGCTTTCGGCAGTGGCAGCCTGGGAACAAAGATGCTGTCGCTCTGACATTTATTAGGCTTGGCCACCATCTAGGGTTCCTGCTCTGAATGCCAGGTGATGGATACATTCACCCTGCACCCCAGAAGTAGCTGTGTGGGCTGCAGTGGCCCCCTCCCCACCAGAAAGCCTTGAATGCCATTTGAGTCATTTCCAAGCTGCCAGTGCTAGCAGGGAGCAGGGATCTGAGGCGTCTGAGTATCTCCTGGAGCCCTTGTACCTTTGGCAACAGAAACGCCACTTCCTTCCCAAGCCTGGGAAGAAGGCGGAGGAAGAAGACTATGATTTTTTTCCTTTTTTTTTTTTTTTTTTTTTGAACCAGGGATTGAACTCAGGCCCTTGCGCTCGCCAGGCAAGTGCTTATTCTACTCAGCTATCTCCCCGGCCCCCATTTTTTTTCCTTTTTGAAACTGGGTCTCCCTGTATAGACCAGGCTGGCCTCAAACTCTTCCTCTCCTGCCTCAGCCTCCTGTGTGCTAGGATTACAGGACAGAACCTGCAGCCCCTTGCCTTCTTCTGGGTGAGCACTTTCCACCCTGGACCGCAAGCACAGTGAGACTCACAGCTCCATGTGCCTGTGCAGAGCATTGCTATTTCCAGTTGATGCTGTTTTCTGTGAGCACTGGGTGTCTAGTTTGAACTCCAGCGGGAGCACCAGATGGAGCATCAGCTCAGCTTCTGTTACTTGCTTCAGCGTGGCCAGGGTTGAGGATTAGGTCCCATGCCACGCTGCCCCTAAGTGGTCCCACACATGTGGCTGGGAGGCCGTGGAGGGCTCTTGCCAGGACTCAGAGAGCTCAGCTACATCCAGGCCTTCAGCTAGACACAGCTGCAGCTGGTGATGGGCTGAGCCGCCCACTGTCCCCAGGAGGCTGCTTCCCGAAGGAGCCTCTCGAGCTCCGAGCAGCTTCTCGGAAGTGCACTGAACATGGCAGAATGTATCTGACTTCATTGAGTGTCTCTGCTTCTCCAGAAGAGAGGTCTAATTGAGGAAATAAAAGTTTACTACTGCCCTAAATGACCTGCAAGCAGTGGAGTTTGGTGCTGCGCACCTGTAATCCCAGCACTTGGGAAGCCGAAGCAGGTAGATCACTGTGAGTTTGAGGCCAATATGGGCTACACAGTGAGGGCTTGTCTCAAAAGACAAAAGAAAAGGTAGGGGGCTCTCTAGATCCCAGCGGGCCAGCTTGCCTCTCAGCTGGGCTTGGAACAACATCGGGTCAGGGTCCGTGCCTGGGGGAAACAAAAAAGATATATGCTGGGCTCAGCTCTGGTGACACCACCCGCTTAGAGTCCTCGGGACACATCCCAGCTGGCAAGAACAGCACTGCTCTGAAGAGGGTGTGCAGACATGTCTCAGAGCCTCTCCCTTGGCTGTGTCCCGAGAAATGCGCTTGCTAGATGAGGTGATTCTGTGTTCATGTTTTGGTGCTAAAGGAGGTGGAATCCAGGGCCTCTCCATGCTAGACGAGTGCTTAGCACTGAGCTACACCCAGCCCTTCTTATGTTTTCATTTTGAGCCAGGGTCTGACTAAATACCCCAGGGTGACCTTAAGTTCAAGATCCTCCTGCCTCAGCCTCCCCAGTGGCTGAGGTCACAGGTCTGCGCCACTGCACCTGGCCCTGTGTTGAATTTTAAGGAAGTGCTTTGCTGTTCTTCACAGTGGTGGCAGCATTTTCCATTCCTACCATGGATGCACAGGTGCCGAGGCCTTGTGACCCCTGGGAGCTGTCACAGCAGCCACGTCTCAGATCTCCTCACACCTCCCATTTGGATTTCCCTGGTAGTTCCTGACCTGCAGCCAGGCCTGCCTCAGCCTCGTGGGCCTCTGTCTACCCACCCTGTGATGGAGAAAGGGTGTTCACTGACTCAGACTCAGGAGTGTGGGCTGAGGCTAACGGACCCTGAGACCCAGACTGAGACCGTGGTGATAGAGAGGAGGGTGGGAAACACCAGCCTCAGTCCCGGGGGTTCCTGTCTGTGTCAGGAAGGTCAGGCTGGACATCCACTTCCACCAGCAAGACGGGAGGCTGGAAACACCTCCCTGAAGACACGGAACCACAGAAAGAGTGAGGACTTCAGCCCAAGAACAAGCACTGCTGCTCTCAGCCAGCCCCAGAGTCAGAGCCAGACCCACCGGGTCCCTGAGACCCAGACCATAGCAGGGGTCCTGCTTCCAGCAGGCGGATCCCTGGCCATGGTCCCTACAAGAGGTGTCAGGGTGGCAGAGACATGCCAAATACCAGCTACTTGGGACTTTTTTTCAAAAAGTTAAACTCTTCTCTTGAGATTGTTGTGATCCACATGCATTGGTACTGTGCATCATCCCAGCACTTGGAAGGCTGAGGCAAGAGACTCGCTGCAAGTTTGAGGCCAGCACTACCTAGCAAGACCCTGTCTCAGAAAACAAAAAGAAGTAATAGAAAGACCACATCTTCCCATTAATCAATTTCCTTCAAGAGGAACATCTTGTAAAATTATGGGGCAGTGTCCTAACCAGGACAGACCATTCATATCCCCGCCAGGACCCCCCAGTTTGCCCTTGTATGGCCATTTCCGCTTCTCTCCTATGCTTGCCCTGTCCTTATCCCCAACAGCCACAAATCTTCATTATTTTGTAATTTCAAGGATCAGTCACATAGGAATCTGGGAACATAGCTCTGTGGTGGAGCCCTTGTTTAGCACGTGCGAGGCCCTGGTTTCCATCCGTAACCCTGCAGGAAACAAAATTAAAAGATCTGGATGTGATGGTGCATGCCTATAAAAGGAGCTGCTTGGGAGGCTGAGGCAGGAGGATCATGAGTTCTAGGCCAGCTGAGGCAACTTAGTGAGACCCTGTCTCAAAATTTTAAGAAGAGCTGGTGACGTGGCTCAGTAGCAGATGACTTGCCCAATGTGCACAAGGCTTGAGCTCCACCCCAACACTTTGAAAAGAGGGAGGAGTAGTGGCTACAACTGGAATCAGACAGTGATTACTTTTGGAGATGACTTCCCGCTCTTTGATTTTGAATGGACTTGTGACTTGTTTTGCTGATGGGTCGCCTGGTGGGTGAGGGTGGAGGGCCCCTGGCCATCTCCTTCCTGGGGAACAGAATAGAACACATTCCTAAGACTGTTGTTGTTTTCCACCTTAAGCCCTCAAAATGGAAAAGCAGCTGTGATTGGGATGGAGGGCAGGGTTCAGGCTCACAGCATCAGCTCCTTGCTCCCCTAGTCTGTTTCCTTCCCTCTGGCCCCATTTTGGCTGTGGCTGTGGTTCACATCAGCGCTGCCCTTTCCCCGACACATCTGGTGGCTCCTTCCCCTGGCCCAGAATAGCTCATTGTGCAAACAGAGTGTATGTGCTTGAGATGTGGAAGGGGAAGCAAAGGACAGGAGCCCACTGGGGCAGTGGAGCAGTGTGGCCAGGAACAGATGCCTCCCAGGGGCATGGTGGTCCAGGTCAGCAGAGCAGAGTGTTAGGCCAGCTTCAGGATGTGGTGGTCAGAGGACATATCACAGCAGGTCACGGAGGAGACCAGGTATAGACAAAGAACATGCTGGTAGAGATGACCAGGGGATACACAAGTCTGTTGAGTCCCAGGTGCCATCCAACAACACCTTACACAAGTGAGGGCTTAGTTCTTTGGCTGGTGACGTGTCAGTGCTGGGATACAGTCTTATGGCACAGCCCTGTCTCACAAGCCCCATGGGACTCACATAGCTCCTGGCCAACTCTACCTGCACATGCTGTGTCTTCTACACCCAGTCTCCTCTGCAAGGGAGGGGCTCTTTGGCCTGCTGCGTGTGTATGTGGCTCCTGTGCTCGGCTTCTACTGGGCAGAACACAAGCTCATGACCATGCCTAGCTGCAAGGGAAGCTGGGAAATGTAGTCTTTAGTATGGGAAGTTATATACCTAATTGAACATCCAAGGTTCTACAGATGAGACCAGGAATTAGGATGACTGATAGCAGGCAGATTGTCAAACCTCTCTGGGCCTTAGTTTCCTCATCTATAGTGCTGTTCCTTTTTTTTTTTTTTTTTTTTTAATGTATTTAGTACAGAGTCTACAGGGTCTCACTATACAGATCGAACTCAGTGATCCTCCTGTTTTTAGCCTCCCAAGCTCTGGGATTACAGGCACACACCATCATGCCTAGTCTTAATCGCTGTCTCAGTGCACCCCAGGGACAGTGCTGGGGCCAACATGGCATACCGGGATCGAACCCTGGTCCCTGCATCTGACTAAGCAAGTGCTTTAATTCACTGAGCTATCTGGCCAGCCCTGTAGTGCCTTTCTTGAGGCAGTTGTGAGAGTTAAATGAGCTACCAGGTATATAAATAGTTTAGTGCATATAGCCAGAGCTCACATGTCCACTGTTCTTATTTTTATTACTCAAGGAGATCCTGGACTGGATGCCCTGGTGCCATGCTGGGCACAGGCTGTGGTGCTGGAACATAGTACTGTCCTCACTCTTGCTCTTATTTCCAGCCATCCCGTGAGCTGCACAGCTGCCCACTTTAAAGGGGAGCTGGCTCTGAGCGGCTGTCCTTGCACTGTCTATGCAGTGCCTCTGCACTGCTTGCTGGTCTTGTGACCTCTTAGCCTGTGAGCAGATGGCCTGGCCCTGTGGCCTGATGTCAGCTCAGCTGCAGGAAGTGGCTAATCCATCTCATATGGCTTCACAAATGGTCTGCTCTGTGGTGCTCAGCCCCCAGCATGGGACAGAGTCCAGGATGGCAGGGTGGCCTCAGGACAACCTGTCCTTTCTCAGTATAGGATGGGCGCTCTGGCCTGGGCCTAGTGGGGGTGGGGTCAGAGGGACTGTGGCCTGGCCTTGGGGACCCTGAGGGGAACCCAGGGGGGGCTGTACTTCAAACTGCCTCTGGACCACACCCCATGCCAGGTCTTCAGCTTGCTCCAAACCCATCTTCGAGGGTGAGAGAGGAAGCAGAGGATGGTATGGTCTCATACCTTCCCCTGAGGTGGCCTGGGAGACTTCTAGAATCTTCTCCCCCAGTCCCTGTGGGACAGATAGGTTGCCTCAGGGCACAGATTGAGCAACAATGCTGAGCTGTCCATACGGCTGCTGAGTGAAGCTGGAAACCCAGAGAGGCCAGGAAATGTGGGCTCAAGGTCCCAGGGTAGCCCTGAGGAGTGGGCAGGCCCTGAGCCTCCAGCAGGGGTGAGTGAGAGGTGGGGCATGACTGAGGAGGGAAGATGCTGCCTGGACACACACTGTAGAGGGGCAGAAATGGCCTGGGCATACTTATGCTTACTATATGCCCTTGCCCACTTCCACCGGGCAGACATCAAGTCAGAATGGAGGGGGACAGAGAAAAAACAAAATGAAAACTAGAACACCTTCAGAATCAGCACTGTGGGAGGTTGAGGCAGGAATATTGCAAATCTGAATCCAACCTAAGGGGCCTGCTCCTTAGCTCAGTTGTTAAGTGCCTGCTTAAACAAAGCAGTCAGGCTCAGGATGCTGTGGTTCGATCCCCAGATCCTCAAGCCAAACCAGACCTGCCCTGAAAACATCCTGAGCCCGCCCAAAAAAAATCCTTCTGAGGGACCAGGGAGATGGCTCAGTAGAATAAGCGCTTCCCTGGTAAGCGCAAGGGCCTGAGTTCAATCCCCGGTTCCGCAAAAAAAAAAAAAAAAAAAAAAAAAAATCCTTCTGAATCCAACCTAGGCAATTTAGAAACTTAGCAAGACCCTGTCTCAAAAAATAAAAATAGGGGCCAGTAAGCACTTCCCTGACAAGCACAAGGGCCTGTGTTCAATTCCTGGTTTTGCCAAAAATAAATAAATAAATAAACAAACAAATAAAATAAAAATTGGATGAGGGATGTAGGTGAGTATGAAGGCCCTGGGTTGAATCCCCAGTACTGCAAAGAATAAAAAGAAAAAAAGAAATCCTTCAGAGCTTCTTTGGGGTGAAATCATCAGAGTGCACAGAAGGATGCTGTTAATGTTTTTAAAACAAAAATTAATACTCCAAAACAGGCCTATGTGCACACAGCACTCAGCACCTTTACGTTTCACTTCCAAGGATTCCATTTTATTTTCTCTTGCCATTTTCCCTATCTGTATAGTGTCTGCATTGTCCTGATGCACTGGGTGGAAATGATCAAAATTAAGTAGGCAGGTTCAGGGCAGGTGAGATAGTTCAGCGGACTAAGCACCTGCTTAAGTAAACACAGGGGCGGTAGGGGGGAGTGTTCAATCGCTGGCACCACATGCTGTGCCAGCCCAGCCCCCAGGTGCACTGAGTTGAGGCATGGTGGCACACGCCTGTAATCCCAGCACTGGGGAGGCTGAAAATAGGAGGATCACTACAAGTCCAAGCTGCACAGTGAGATCCTGTACCAAATAAAAAATAAATAGGCAGGTGCATGTATGCATATGCAAATACAAGGTCATTTTATGTGAGGAGCTTGTGCATCCTTGGGCTTGATTCTGTTGGGGATCCTAGAAAATGCCTGGTGGGGTCTTATCTGGCTCATAGGAGGGGGACTCAATCCTGAGGGAAAGCTGGGGGTGGTGGCACATGTGTGACCTCAGGACTGGGAAAACTGAGGCAGGAGGATTACTGTGTGTTTGAGGCCAATCTGGGCTACAGAGTGAGTTCAAGGACAGTGCAGACTATATAGCAAGACCTTGTTCCAAAAAAAAAAGGTCCTAGATACCAGGTGTGGGCCTATCAAGGGGAGCCCTGCTGTGCACTGATGCACCCCCTTTTCCACACCAGGTCGAGATTTACAACACAGACCCACTTGTTTACCATGGAGGGCTAAAAGTGTCCTTCGGCATCCAGCTGCTGAACGCTGTGGCTCGGATAGAGCGGGGGATGCACAAGCTGATGCTGCCATTCCTGCTGCTTCAGGGCTCGGAAGACTACCTGTGTGACAGCAAAGGGGCCTATCTGCTCATGGATGGGGCCAAGAGCCAGGACAAGACTCTCAAGGTGAGCAGCCACCCTCCTGGCCGTGCTGGGGCACCTCTTCTGGCTGCAAGGTCCTTGCAAGGACCAGCGTGGCCAGGCTGGGAGACAGACACAGAGATCTGTTAAGGCGCCGAGCTCATGTGCCCTTAGCTGTCATTTTGCGGGTATGAGCTGCAGGGGAAGAACAGAACATCAGAAGATGGCATGGGCAAGAAAGGACACATGGCCCAGGCACTGGGTAAATGAATCTAGATAATGTCACTTCCAAGCCCCGAGGATGTCTAGGTGCCCAGCACCCCTGCAGCAGCTGTAGCAGCTCAGGGAAGCTGGGCACTGGGCAGACAGGCAGTGCTGCCCTGGGAGAAGCTGACTTAGTCTCTGGGTCTAAGCAACAAGTGACAAGTTCTGGCTTATGAAGGGTATGGGGACAGAATGAAGGCAGTGAGACCCAGGGAGACACAGTCCTTCATCTGCGCCAAGAAGAGGGGCTTGGCTGAGGTGACACAGGAAAGTGGAGACAGGCCCATGTGGGGAAGGCTCCAGCACAATGAGCGACAGGATAGAGGTGTCTGGAAAAAGCAGGGCTGGGGGCAGCATGGAAGCCTGCACTAGCAGAGGTGATGCACTGGTTCTTCCCCAGCACCACCTGCACACACATGCGCACACCTGCGCAGGCGCACGCACACACACCCCGCCACAGTTACCCTGTGACCCAGCTGTCACACTCCTGAGTGCATCGTTCAGTGACCAAGTAGTGCAATCAACCTGGTGCCTGCTGACAGGTGACCAGGTAAAGGAAGCACTCACCCACAGCAGGATCCCATCCACCATAAGAATATTTTCAGCTATGTGGAGGAGCCCAGGGGGCATCACGTTGAGTGACACTGGCCAGGCGCAGAAAGACACTGTGTCTCGTAGTCATTTTCCAAGTCATGGAAGCAGTGTTGACTCCTGCCCATTCCAGGAGTTTATCTTGCCTCACGTTTCAGTCCACAGTCTGCTGGCTCCAAGGCCCCAGACATGGCGTAGTAAAGGGCTCAGCAGAGGACTGGCTCACAGCATAGTGGGCAGGAAAAGGAGTAAAAGGAGGAGCTCTTCCAGGCCACATCCAGTGTCTGCCTCTTCCAACCAGACCCCACCTTCTAACAGCAAGGTGGCTCTGAGCCCCTATAACCCAGCCACCTTCTGAAGGCCTCACTGTGGCCCTTGGGGGATGTCCAAATGGAAACCATGACACTCTGTCCTCAGGTGGGAGCTAGAAAGCTGATCTTGAGGCAGTAGAGTGGTTCTGGGGCCTGATGGGGGAAGGAGGAAGCTGAGGAGACCCTGGGGAATGGGAGTCCCATTGGCAGAAGCAGTGAGTTCCTGTGTCCCCTACACAGGGGGATGCAGATAATTATGTTGTGTGTATTTCCAGAGAGCCAGAGGAGAGAATTTTGAGTTGTCTCACTACAAAGCAATGATAGATCTTTGAGGTAATCCATGTGCTCAAGGAGATAGCTCTGCTGTCTGAGCACCTGCCTGGCAATTGCTAAGGACCCAGGTTTGATCCCTGGTACCTCATGCCATGCCAGCCCCTCACTGAGCCAGCCACCAAAACCAGGAGTGGTGGTGCACACCTGTAATCCCAGATCACTACAACTTCAAGCTGCCTAGGGAGACCTTGTACCAAATAAATAGATAAAAGATAAAATAATAATAATAATAATAATAATAATAATAAGGCCTGTATCTTGCCTAACCTGCACATGGCCCTGGATTCCCCTGTCAGCACCACAGGAAGAGCAGCTTGTGAGAAGGAATGGCCCAGTGTCCTGAGATGGGTAACCCTGGCTGGGCCAGAGCTGAGCATGAGCAAGGGCTCCACTCTCAGAAACTCTGATGCGAACGGCCAGTAGGCAGCAAGCATGCAGAGAACTCAGGCTGGAGACAGAAGCCCAGGGTCATGGGAACTTGAAGGGGATTCAAGACCCAGGCCTTGAAGAGATTGCTAGGGACACCCAAGGAGCAGCCTACCAGCCTATGTGCAAGGTCATCAGGGTGGCAGGTATCACTTCTAGGTGGGATAGAAGCCAGGTGAGGGTAAAGCTATAGTCTTGGGCTGGCCAGATAGCTCAGCAGATTAAAGCACCTGCTTAGGCAGACATGGACCAGGGTTCGATCCCTGGTGTGCCATGCTGGCCCTGCCCCCAGGATGCTCTGAGATAGCAATTGAGACTGGGCATGGTGGCGTGCACCTGTAATCCCAGCACTTGGGAGGCTGAAAACAGGAGGATCACTATGAGTTTGATCTGTGTAGTGAGACCCTGGAGACCCTGTACTAAAAAAAAAAAAAAAAAAAAAAGTTATGGTCTTGGAAGGAAAGACGTCAAATAGCTTCTGGGCACCAAGGGTCCCCTGGCCCAGGCAGGTCACAGAGACCCTGCCACAGACCACTGCTGGGAACTGGGAGAGTGAAAGCTGGCTTGAGGTGTATTAACTTCAGCTGGGCACAGTGGAGCACTTCTGTAGTCACAGTTGCTCAGGAGACTGAGGCAGGAGGATCACTTGAGCCCAGAGTTCAAGATCAGCCTGGACAATGTATGGACCGCCACTGAAACCAAAAGGCTGATGTGAATGTCCAGTGCTCAGGCTATAGGGAGAGGGTCTGGACATCATCACACACTCCTGTCTCCCATCTTTGTTCCCCCCCCCCAATTCCTGACCATACAACCCTGACTCCATGTCTCTTGCAATTGCAGATTTACGAAGGCGCTTACCATGTGCTTCACAAGGAGCTGCCCGAAGTGACCAACTCTGTCTTCCATGAGATAAACATGTGGTTCTCTCAAAGGACACCCGAGGTGGGAGGCAGATGTCCACCCTGAGCCAGGGGCTAGGTGCCCCTCACTCCTGGGGCCCTGGGAGGTGGGCAGAGGAGGGCAGAGCCAAACAGGAAATCAGGAACCAGAGGAATCCCCAACACAATGTACTTTAAACAAAAAAGAGACATATTTGTCATATATATTGCTAACAGCCACTGGATCTGCTCTTAGGGGTGGACACTTTGACACTTTATGCAGGAGAAAGAGGAGAAGGAGAGAGAGAAGAGAGGGAAAAGGAGAGAGAGGGTGACAGACGAGCATTTCTCCACAGAGGGACCATGGTGCAATGTCCCTTAAAATGCACACAGCCTCAGCCCACCTCTGCCAGCCACACAGGTGTCCCAGGCTCTATACCTGGGATGCCAGCCTGCAATAACTAGAGGAGCCCCTGCCTGCCCCCACCAAACTCTGCCCTAGTTCCCCCTCTGACCAGCTGTAGCCCTGTGGCCTTGCTCTGGCAGGTAACAAGGTGGCCTGTGTTCCCACTGAGGTTGCCCATGACCCCATCAGCCACAGTGTGGCCACAGCCAAGGCTGCAGGGATCACTTGCCAATAGGCAAGCACTGGACAGGGCCCTTCCTTTCACCCCAGGGCTAGGCCTGTCTTAAGGCAGCCTTGGCAAGGCCGCTGCTTTCTGGTGCTGCGAGATGAGAGGGGATCAGGAGAGACTGACACCTGTGAGCATCCCCACCCGGTCCCAGGTGCTTGGCACATGGGACTCAGGGCTGCTGGAAGGGCCCTGGAGCTGAGCTGCACCCCAGAGAGGGTGGAGGAACCCTGGTCCACCCAGCCTTCCCTTCCCCTAGGCAACCAGCGCCTCCTGGAGTCACAGTACTGGACCCACAGCTACCTCTGGTGGCAGCAGGAGGGAACCAGCTACCCAGTCAGGGCAGAGACCAGCGAGCCACCCTTCCAGGATAAGGCCCAAGCCCGGCCACCCTCTCAGGTGCCAACCCCAGTCTGGCCCTGCCCTGGCCTCACTTAGTGCCAGCAATAAGGGGACCTGGCCCACCTGCCCTGGGCGCCTTCACCTCGTGAGTCCCCTGTGAGGCTGCTGGGACTCACAGGGTTCATCCCTGTCCCTGGGGCCCCGATCAGGTCTCCCTGCTGCAGGCAGTGATGGCGGTCAGCCGCCGAGGCTTTGGGTGTGCCCTGTCCTGGGAGGGTCAGTCTGTTCATGAACCCCAGCTGCCAGCAGCCTACTGACAGTTTCTGCTGTCTGTAACCTAGCAGGCGCCCTGGGCTCTGGTCTGTGACTCACCCAGAACTCACTGTCCCCAGTACTGGGCACTGTGGCCTCTCCCAGAGGCTTATGATGACAGTGTCCTTTCCAAAGGAACATGGCTGCGTGACTCGACCACGGTCCCCTAAGATGCATGGATTTGCTCATGTGGGCCTTGGTCCAGACACACGGTCAGCTCTTACATGACTGAATACAGAACCATTTGGGAGACAGGTGTGTAAGTGGGACTGTCTTGCAAAATCTGGAGGAGAGGGCAGGGAACGTGGATGTCCACCTCCATGGCTGACTCAGGCACCACCTGATGTCCCCCACCAAGCCCCCCAGAGCACAGCATCTCATCTTTGTCTTCAGGAGACTGGGTGGCCCTGATCATCTTGGGGAGCAAGGAAGGTCAGGTGACCAGGCAGAGGAGGACAGAGTGAGGAGAGGCAGTAGGGCCCTGGCGGGATTCTGGGCCCTGGCGCCAGTGTAGACGCCGCTCTTTTTGTACAGCGCAGAGGCCATGTGTGTCCTCTTTGAAAACGGGTTCCAGCTCTGACAATCTTTTTAGGAAAAGAGGCCTCCTGCAGGGAGTGGGAGGTCCCAGCACCCACATCGCAGGGCCTCGGCACCACAGGCCCCAGGGTATGCCACATCTGTCCAGCTCACATGTCCTTTCTTTCTCTCGCCCATTGTTAACAAGAACCTACTAAGATCACAAAGATTTTCCGAGCAAGTCACCAGTCTTGTATCACCACAGCTTGGCATGTATACTGCGTGGGAAATGCGTGTATCAGCTTAGAACTATTAAAGGAGTTCATGTATGCCACAGCTAATCCTAATAAACCACATGTTTTCAGTGTGCTGGCTCTGTCTGTCTGTCTGTCTTTCTGTTGCCATGAGTCTCTATCTCAGACAAAACACCTTTAGGGACACAACCACAGATCCTTTCCCAGGGTCTGCTGAGCCCCACTCAGACCGCCCTAAAACCTCATCCTAGATATGGCCTGGCCCAGAAAGGACAAATCCTGGTTCCTCCCGCTCCTGTCCTAACTCTACTTGTCCACATGGGGGCGCACTCCCTGCCAGGGAACACAGCCTGTGTCCCAAGCACAGTAGCTGTGATAGGGCTGGGAGGGAGGAACAGTGAGTAAGAGGAGCAAATGCTTTTGGGAGGAAGAAGGACCAATGAATAGCTGGGAGAGGAAGGTGGGCTGTGCCTGCACCCTGGTCCTACACCGCCTCCAGCCCCCTACTTCGGGAGGGCCATGCTGGGCTCTGCAGCTGGAGCTGTGTTTCTGGGCTCTGTGGGTGTGGCAGGGTCCTGTGGGGGGCTGGAACCCAGGGCAAGGGCCTCTGGAGGCAGTGGGCCTGTGCCACCTCCATAGCCCCAGTCTGCACAAAGGCCACGTGCTTCCTGCACAATCAATAGTGGCTCTGCAGCACCCCGGCCCCTGCCTCACCTGGCTCAGAGGGGGTGGGTGACCACAGCTGGGCAGCAGGAACTCCTACTGCCGTGGTGAGAAGGGGGCGGGCAGAGCAGCAGGAAACGGGCCCCCAGTGGCACCTGACCAAGAATGGTATCATGGGGGAGGGCAGCACCGCACTGAGCTGTCACCGTGGATGGGGCTGCCTGGCAGAGCTGTGGCTCTTGGTAAGGGACACAGCCCTGACCAAGGCCTCTCTGCTTCCTTATTTGCTCTCCTAGATGCCCTCTGGGTCCACTGCCCTGAGGCCTGGAGCATATTGGCTTTGGTTTATGGTCCAACATGACAGTTCCAGCTCCAGCCACCTCACCCTTATTCCAGCTGACTGAGGGAAGAAAAGGAAAAGGAGAGTCATGCATCCTTGAAGAGACACATCAGAACGCAGATATTGCATCTAGTCTTTCTGCTCGTATCTAGAGCCAACAGGCATGGCCATGGACAAGGGTACACTGGGAAAGGAGCCCAAGGCCACTGAAAAACAAGGGGCAGAGTCCAGCTATCAGGGAGTGCAGGCCACCCTGGGCAGGGCTGCAGTGTGGGTGTGGGTCACCCTGAGCACAGTGGAGCTTCCTGGAGGAGCTGGCCTCCAATAGCTGGGAGAAGACGCAGGCCTAGCTGACAGCATGTGGCAGTGGGGACGCTGTGGATGACCACAGGAGGCAGAAACAGAAGAGCTGGTAACAGCTAAGCTGAGTGCAAGGAGGAAGCAACAGCGAGGTCTCCATGTGCCCAAGCAGCATGCACTCTGCCTGGAGGTGTGGGCAGAGCCATGGAGCCTCTTGCTACATGAGGTGGTGGGTGACTGCTCCCTTTGGATAAATGAGTAAAGTGAGGCTGGCAGGGCCGGCATTGCTCAGGGGGCTTCTCAGCTTGAGGAGGAAGACAGCACCCCCAGACCATGGCCCAGCAAAGCAGGACCCAGGCCAAGCTCCCAGGCTGCAGAGCAGGGGTCAGGGCCTCTGCTGCACTCAACCCCAGTGTAACCTCTTGCCTTGGGGACTGCAGGCAGATGGGCACTGCAGCTACCCAGCCATGGAACAAAACTATGTCCGCATCAGTGTCATAAAAGCCTCATGGAGATGACACAACATGTGGTTAAAATGTAATCAAAGGGCCAGAATGTGGCTTAGTGGCAAGGGCTGGCCCAGCACATACCGAGAGAGAGGAGAGAGAGAGAGAGAGAAAAAGAGAGAGAGAGAGAGAGAGAGAGACAGACAGACAGACAGACAGACAGACAGACAGACAGACAAAAGACAGACCAGGGCTGGTGAGATGGCTCAGCGGTCTAAAGCACCTACTTGGAACAAGCTTAGCAAAAGCACAGAGACCGCGGTTCAATCCCCCAGCACCACATGCCAGCCAGCCC